CCCTCTCTCCCTCTCTCCCTCTCTCCCTCTCTCCCTCTCTCTTTCTGGATTGTTCAAGATTTCCCCCACAGCATCTTTCAGTATTTCAAGTTGAGACTTGAATTTGCGTTTCAGTCCTCTCAGCTTGAGACGTGATGAATGAGTACTTTCCTTTGGATTTTCTGACTCCAGCTCTTTGAACATTTTGTTATAATGGTTTGCTTTGTCTTCACGAGCTGTCCTCTGAAATTGTATGTTTGTCCCATATACTTTGTTATTTTTTTCCCTTTGTTATAACTTGTCAGCATTCTGGTACAATTTTCAGAGTCACTTTTGACATCCATTCTGGGCTTTTTTTCCTTTGTAATGACCTTTTCCCTTCTTCATGGATGATATCCTTAATGTACTCCACAACTCATCCAGTCTTTGATCATTGGTGTTCAATGCCTCAATCCTATTCCTGAGATGGTTTTAAAATTCAGGTAGGATAGACTCAAGGTCATATTTTGGTTCTTATGGATTTGTTTTCCTTTTCTTTGGCTTCAATTCTAATTTCATATGAGTAGTTGATGGTCTCTTCCACAGTAAGCCTGTTTCGCAGCGTATACTGACCTTCCCAACGTTTCTTTCCACAGATGTAGCCAGTCTGGTGATTCGGTGTAGTCTGTCAGGTGATGTCTGTGTATAGTAACCATTTGTTTCCTATCAAAGGTATTTGCAGTGAAGAAATCATTGTTCCCAATTCAAGCTTTCTAACTCCAGCCTCATTTCTGTCACCAAGTCTCTAATTTCTGACTAAGGATCCTTCTTCCTTGTTTCCAACTTTTGAATTCCAGTCAACAACCAATTTCAGGCTGCAAAAGGTAGTAGAAACCCTCAGTTTCCTTCTTTTTGGCTTTCAGTGGTGGTGAGGATGTTTGGATGGTTGTTGTTCTAACAGATTTTCCTTGTATGCGAACGAAAAAATAGAGCTTTCCTGAAGACAATTCTTGAAAAACTGGGCAGACTAAGGGAAGACACATGTGGAAGAAAGCTTCGAGGGTGTGTGTGTGTAAGTGCGTGTGTGTGTGTGTGTGCATGAGTGTGTATGAGTATGTGAGAGTGTGAGTGAGTGTGTAAGCGTGTGTGTGCACGCACACATGTGCACATTGTTTTTCACTGTGCTCTGGCCCGGCTGCTCCCTTGTACATTTTTGCACAATTACTGGGCTCTAGCTTGCGTCTCTGTCTGTAAGTAGTGGAAGTGGTGCAGACTACCAGCACTGTTACGCTTTCAAACAAAATTTAAATTGTACACAGGAATCTTTTTTGTTCCACAAGTGTTATGGAGTGTGCCCACCATTTCTGTTCTAATGGTTTGCCAACCCTGTTCCTGGCTGGTTTCCATTCTCCAGGAGCCGATGGCTGTGTGGGCTGTGAGGTGCAGGTGTGGCTGTTAGATATGGGAGTGATCTTCCTGGTGAGCATTGGGAGCTGGGAGGAGGGGTTCTCACTCTCCTGGTGAAGGGGGACGTGGAAGGCCTGAGGTTGGTGAGGAAGAGGGCAGAGCAGCTGGAAGGAGACGGGTCTGAAAGAAAAGGCTGCTGAGATCCACATCACAGGTCCGCAGAGGGACTGAGAGGGCGCTGGAGGGGCTCATGGGGACGGGGCGGGGGTGAGAGGGACTTCAGGGCAACTGACCCCTGTTGCACTTCTGTCCCAGGACCGTCCACGTAAGGAGCTGGGCCTCGACTTGTGTTTTCCAGGCTGTGTGACACTGAGCGGCCCCGGGACGGTGAGGGGCACCGAGGGGGGATCCCTGAGCCTGCAGTGTCGGTATGAGGAGAAATTCAAGAACAATGACAAATACTGGTGCAAAGGACCACGTCGTATATCATGTGAGACGCTTGTGAAAACCAGTGCATCAGAAGGAGAGGAGAAGGACCGAGTGTCCATCAGGGACTGTCCCGAGCAGCTCTACTTCATGGTGACCATGTGGGGCCTCACAGCGGAGGACGAAGACGTGTACTGGTGCGCCATTGATATAAAATGGTGGGACCGTGGACTGCTCCCCCTACCAATCTTGTTCCCGGTGAATGTGTCTGTGTCTCGAGGTGAGTTTCTCCTCACGGCCCAGCCTGGAACTGCCCCAACGAGCTCAGGGGAGAATAGCTGGGGTTGGTCTCCTGTCAGAGACTTGGGGATAACTAAGTATGTACGATGAGAAAGAGAGGAGAGG